GTGGGGTGGGAAAGTGGGGGGGTGGGCGGGTTGGTGGGGGCTTCAGTTGAGGGGGCTTAGTGGAGGTGGGGCTTTGGGTTGGTGGGAAGCTGGAGGTTTCCTTTCGAAGCGGCCGAGTGAACAACGGGCAGGTGGTGGTGGCATGCCTGCCCATGCCCGCTGTGAGTGATCGCCCCTTGCCTGCCTGGCCTGTCCGCCTGGCGCGCCCGCAGAGCGAGTTTGGCGACATCTACCGCGTCACGCTGGACTACGAGGGGGAGCAGGTCAAGGGTGAGGCGCTGTAAGGGGGTGCAAGGGGCGGCGCCTGTATATGTTGGTGCCCTGTGCCTTTGCCTGCTGTGGCGAAGCATGCGCCCGCCCTTCATACGCCCTGCCACCACTCCTGAGCGCCCCCCTCCCCTCCTCCTTAGCCACCCCCACCCCCACCACCCACCCGACACACCGCAGAGCTGCGCATCAAGTACTTTGACTCCATCCCACCCGCCACATCCATCTGCCTCATGCGCAAGGGCTTCCTGTTTGCCGCCTCCGAGTTTGGCGACCACGCGCTGTACCAGTTCTCGGTGGGTGGTGGCATGGTGTGGTGTGGTGTGGTATGGTGGCATGGTGTGGTGTGGCGTGGCGTTGCATGTTGTGTATGTGTTTCGAAGGGAAAGGCCCGGCACACCTGTGCTGGGGCGCTGGCTGGCGGTCACGCCGCTCAACACGCCACGCATGCGCGCCTCCCCCGGCCTCCTCCTCCTCCCTCCGCCCCCGCAGTCCCTGGGCGACGACGATGAGGGCGGCGTGGAGTCCAGCAGCGCCACGCTGATGGAGACGGAGGAGGGGTACCAGGTGGGCCTGTGGGGCGCTGGGGTGGTGGGCCGCTGCGGCGGGGTCTGGATGTGATGCTGGGCCTCTGCACAAGAAGGGGAGGGCCAGGGCGGGGCATGTAGTAGCTCGTGAGGTGTGACCGGCCCCCTGCCTGCCCCGTGCGTCCCACCCCGCAGCCTGTGTTTTTCGACCCCCGCCCGCTGAGCAACCTGGAGGCTCTGGACCGTATGGACAGCCTGGCGCCCATACTAGATATGAAGGTGGGTGGAGGTTGTGGGGTGTGGGGTGAAGAGGAGCCGAGGGGTGGCAGGTGGAGGAGGCTTAGTGGGTCCGGGCCGTGTGCCGAGCGTGGCACAGAATGCGATGTGCCGCGCCTGCCATGCTGGGCCACGCAGGTGGCCAACCTGGCGGGTGAGGAGATCCCGCAGATCTACGCCGCGTGCGGGCGGGGCTCGCGCTCCACGCTGCGCGTGCTGCGGCCGGGCCTGGCGGTCACAGGCAAGCGCGCTGCGCATGGTGTGGGGCTGGCGTGCCGCTGCCGCTCCCGCCCACCGGGGGGCGTTTCCTCGCTTGCTGGCGAGCACCCCGCCCTGGCTGCTCCTCTGCCCGCCCGCCTGCCTGCCCACCTGCCTTGGCCCGCCCCGCGCGCAGAGATGGCTGTGTCGCCGCTGCCGGGCAACCCCACCGCCGTGTGGACCATCAAGCGCAGCGTGGGCGACGAATTTGACGCCTACATCGTCGTCTCCTTCTCCAACGCCACCCTGGTGCTCAGGTGCGGGGCCTGGGCAGGGGCGTGCTGCTGCCGCTGCGTGCCCTCCTGCTCCGCGCCTGC